ATCACAGCTCTTAAACCTAAATAATCCAGTTTGTATCAGGCTATTTGTCTTCAGCTTGTATTGGCTTCCCTAAGGAATTTTATCTGACAGGCTGAGCTGGACTTTTGTTACCTTGAACAACTCCCTGCACAGGCCCCTGTGCTGGTCGCAGAAGTGTGCCAGTGGCAACGTTGCCCTCCAAGGTTGGTGCATGCCCAGGGCCATGTCTTCTGCCCAGAGGGAAATGAACGTAACAGCATGAGGGCCGTGAGCCCCGGTGGAGATGGGGCAGGGGCCTGGCACTGCAGAGAAAGTTGGTCACAACAGGGCATGAAGGAAAAACAGCCCTGGCACTGAGGAACAGCATGTGCCATCCACCTAGGGTGACCAGATGTCCCGATTTTATAGGGACGGTCCTGATTTTTTGGTTCGTTTCTTATATAGCCTCCTATTACTCCCTACCCCCGTCCCGATTTTTCACAGTTGCTGTCTGGTCACCCTACATCCAGCAGAGCAGCACTAGTGGGCCAGGAGCCCTACGCTGAGGGCCAGCTGGCTCAGTGAATTGGTGGATGCAGCTCACAACTGGGGAATAGCGAGAACAGATGAAGATGGTCGGGTGATCCTCGGGTGCAGACACAGAATGCTGCAGAGGTCAGTGTCCCTACGAGGCTCTCATAAGAACATAAAAATCACCATACTGGGTCAGACCAAAGGTCCATCCAGCCCAGTATCCTGTCTACCGACAGTGACCAATGCCAGTTGTCCCAGAGGGAGTGAACCTAACAGGTAATGATCAAGTGATCTCTCTCCTGCCATCCATCTCCACCCTCTGACAGAGGCTAGGGACACCATTCCTTACCCATCCTGGCTAATAGCATTAATGGACTTAACCTCCATGAATTTATCTCGTTCTCTTTTAAACCCTGTTATAGTCCTAGCCTTCACAACCTCCTTAGGCAAGGAGTTCCACAGGTTGACTGTGCGCTGTGTGAAGAAGAACTTCCTTTTATTTGTTTTAAACTTGCTGCCCATTAATTTCATTTGGTGGCCCCTAGTTCTTATATTATGGGAACAAGTAAATAACTTTTCCTTATTCACTTTCTCCACATCACTCATGATTTTATGTTCCTATATCTTTTTTGAGATGAGGAGACCACATCTGTACACAGTATTCAAGATGTGGGCGTACCATGGATTTATATAAGGGCAATAAGATATTCTCCATCTTATCTCTATCCCTTTTTGAATGATTCCTAACATCCTGTTTGCTTTTTTGACTGCCGCTGCACACTGTGTGGACGTCTTCAGAGAACTATCTACAATTCACCTGCCTGGGGAATGCAGTTCCCAGGGCTGAGGGCAAAGCCGATCCCTGCAGGCTCTGGGGCCAATGCCTCTCCCCACTGCACATGCTCCTGGCAGCCTGGCATGTGGTTTGAAATTGCCTGTGTCTTCTTCCCTAGGCCTCCATGCTCCATGTGCATTGCTTGGTTAGCACACAGAGCTGGCCAAGTTTCTGTTGGTGTGGCTCCCTCTCACCTGCTCCATAGCACTGACAGGTAGGATCATGCCTTTGCATCACAGATATGCAGCTGGGTGCCAACAAGAGAATGCATATTCTGCAATATGCAGACCAAGGCATTGACTCATTTGCATGCAGTTGCCACATTTCCAGACCTTGGCCCTACCAGGTGCAGTGGCAGCAAACCTGAGTGGAGCACAGCACCTCGGTCAGTACTGAGTCCTTGGCAGGGAGCCGGGGGTCTCAGGAGATCTGCTTTCTGTTACTGACCTGCAGAGTGTGCAGGGTAAGTCACTGCACCTCTCTGGGCCTCTCTTGGGCAGGTGGGGCTCATCAGCCGGGGCAGGTCGCCCACCTGGGAGAAGGGAACTCTGATTTCAAACCAAAAGCATCAGGCCTGACAGTCAAAAAATCAAACAGAATGTTGGGAATCGTTAAAAAAGGGATAGATAGAATGTTCTGGTCATTCCCTCTGGGGCACCTGGCACTGGCCACTGTCGGAAGACAGGATACTGGGCTAGATGGACCTTTGGTCTGACCCAGTATGGCTGTTCTTATGTTCTTATGAAGCAAGTGAGCGCCTCCAGAAGAACGTAAGTCCCCCAGTAACAAATGGGACAGAGCAGGGAGAGCAGGATCTTCTCTTCTCCCTGTCTCATCATGCAGAACAATGACACTGCAGCAGGGTGGTAGGGGGTGGTCTGACCCTTAAGGGGAGCCGGGCTCAGCCTCCCCAATGCCTAGTTATCTGCACCCCTGGTGTTGGGCTTGGGCCAGTGGTTGCGTCAGGGGCTTCCTAGAAGAATGAGCCTGCTCAGTGGGAAGGGAAGGGGTGAGGAAGAGGAAGACCAGGACCTGGAGGAGATCTCTCCAAAGAGGCACGGGGTGGGACTGATGGAGATCCCCTGCTCAGCTCCCCTTCTCAGAGGGAAAGAACTGGGGGATGATGAGAGGGACAGGCAGGGCCAATAGCAGTGTCTGAGAGGATCTGGAGGCCCTAGGGAAGGATATCTCTAGAAGGAAGTAGCCTGCACAGGGCAGTGCAGGAGGGTGTGGACGGGAGCTGGCACACTTGCTAAAGGGTCCAGCTTGGGACTTGTATCCAGGGTGGGAGGAAATCCCCTTCGTATTGCCTTGTGCCATGAGGGCAAATGGGCCGCTGCGCCCAGGAGGGGGCTCATAGAGGAGTTATTGCCAGGGAGGGGGAGGATATGGGGTGACCCTGCCAGGGTATACCCCGATTGACTGTGATTGTGAGCTCCTTGGGGCATAGCCCCTCTTTTTGCTCTGTGTCTGTACAGCACTCGACACAAGGGGGTCCTGGTCTGTGAGCGGGGCTCCTGGGCACCACTGCAATACAAATACATAATAATAATAACAGGGAAGAGCCAGCACAATTGCTGAATGTCTGTTTTGTTGGTCTTTTTGTTTACCCCGGACTTTGTGGTTTGGGTGGAGGGATAAATCACTGAGAAGCACATGAAGCAGCACCTCCAGTTAGAGTGATGGAAGGGCCAGGAGACAGGGGGCCACCAAATTGTGAGACAGTGAGCTGGCCCGAGTGGGGAAACTGAGGCAGCCAGTCCAACGGTGGATGAGGTAAAACCCTGTCACAGGTAGGAAATTCAAAGGGAATGCTTTTTTCACACAATGGGTGGTTAAACTGTGGAACTCCCTGCCACATGGTGTCAGTGAGGTCACAAATTTAGCAAGATTTGAAAAAGGATTGGACATTTCTATCAGGGATGGGCAACTTTAGGGTAGTAGAGAGCCACAAAATCCACCAAACCCTCTGGCAGGCTGTTGCGGTGAAGGAAGAAGCTGTCCTGGGGTGCTGCGAGAACATGTGCCAGGACAGCGAGTCCTGCCCTGACACCTCTGTTCCATGCTGTGGCACACACCCATGCCTGCCCACGTTCAGGTCCATAATCTCCCAGAAGGGAGATGAGCCCACGCCCCCAGACAGCAGCCCTGCCCTGGTAACTGCTCCCCTGTTTGTTAACCCACAGGCGCTGTCCACCAGGGTCATCCTGGAGTGGGCCTGCTGCAACCAGGGAGCTGCCACCTCCTGCCTATGCTCCAGCAGGTGCCAGGGTGCAACATCCTCTCCTCCTCCAGGCAATGGGAAGAGCCGCCTATCACCCCGTTTCGCTATCCTTTGCTCTGCACTGGAAGAGCCACGCACACCCTCCCTCACTCTGGCATTGTCTCCTCTGGCTAGCCAGCCAAATCACATGTTCTGGCAGGCTGGATGTGGCCCTGTGTTTTTTATCCCTGATTTATAGGGATAACAAGAATATCCAGAGTTACCATCATTATTGCTGAGCTACATTGTGGGCAGAGTAGTAAATCTCCTGCTTCAGGGCATGCGCCAGGGTGAGACCTAATGTGGGGGCAGTCTGGCAGATTATCCCCCAGCTGCTACGGTGGGGCTCAGACACCTTCCTCTGCAGCACATGGTGCTGGCCACTGTCAACAGGATGCTGGTGCTGGCTCTGATCCAGTCTGGCACTTCCTGTGTTCAATGAAGCCTAGTGGATAGTGCACTGGACTGGGAGCCAGGAGACCTGCATTCTATTCCCAGCTCTGCCCCCAGCTGCTGGGTCCATTGTCTGTTGAGACTGGGAGCTCTTGGAGATATCCTCAGGGACTGCCCCTCCCTCTGGCTGCACAGCACTAGCACAGTGGGGCTTAGTTCTGGGACCTCTAGGCCCTAGTGTACTAGACATCACTAAAGAAACTGAATAACTGAGGAGTGGTTCCGAGCTAGTGCCTGGGACCCTGGTGGGGAAGGCCTAGTCCACAGAGGTATTTTGGCTAGGGTGTGATTCTTCTAGGGGTAGAGCAAAAGCAGTACAAGCACGCTAATGTGGACACAGTTATACCAGGAGCCTTACACTGGTACAGCTTGTTCCTTTTCCCCTACCTGAATACACTGCGCTGCTGTAAGGCTTCTGACAATGTCTGATTCCACCTCCCCCGGCTCTGCCATTCTCAGCCCCTATTTTTCATTGCCCGGGTAGCTCCCCTGGCTTTCCCTTGGGCCTGTTTCCATGCAGAGTCCCCTCCTGGCCCCATGGCTCCAGGCCCAGCATTCAGACTAAGGATCCCCCATGCTGCCAGCCGGGGTTCTCCTCCCAGCGCAGTGAGTCAGTTTCCTGCAGTGACTCAGCCTGGGACCCTGACGCAGCCTCACAACAGCTCCTGCGTTTCCATGGAGACCATTGATGTTTAGGACGTTGTTGTTTTTTTGGTTACGATCTGCGCCCCCCTCGTCCCCCTCCCTGTGGCGGTGGGAAGCAGCTGGCGACTGGCTCTGAGCAGGCCTGGGCAGGGCCCCAGCTGTCTGGCCGTGTTCACCTTACCGACTCGTGTGTGCGCACAGACGACTGTTGTTGTTGCAAGCCCCCCCCGTGGCCCTGGTGGGGAGGAGCCTTGCACTCAACCCCCCCCCCCCCAACTTTCTCCTTGCTCCTGGGCGCCGGCTGGGATCGGTTTGCACATGGCCTTGGCACCTCACAGCTGCAGCCTAGCAGGCGAGAGCGAGAGCAGGCGCTTCCTGCTGCAGAGGGCTTGCAGCATCTCCACTCGCTTAACCAGCTCCAGGGCAGCGATGATGGCTCGCAGCCGGGCGTGACCGTGGAGTCTCGATCTGCCATTGCAGCTTGTCTCCAGCAGTAATCAGGCTTTTCCCAGCTCTGCCTCCCTGCGATCTTCCAACCCCAGCTCTGCTACCAGGGGAATCCTACAAGCAGCGTCGGGATGCTCAGGCTGCAGAGCTGGACACACTGATGAGTCACCAGGAGTGACTGGTCTGGTACCCTAAGGCAGGAAACAAGAGAAGCTATAAAACCACCACTCACTGCAGCCTGCTGGGGCATTTGGGAGAGCAGCATGGGCCGTGCAGTGGGAGAGTGCTGAAGGGCAAGACTTTGACGCACCCATGGGCACTGGGGTAGAACCCCAAGAAGCTTGCATCTCTTCTCTGCACCCCCAGCATCAAGCCCCCAGGCTGGTTGGGAAGGGACCAGCCTCTCCTCATGCTGGGCCAGGAGCTGAGCCGCCCTCCAAAATGTGTCTGTCCTCCTGCCACAGAGATGAAGCAGGGATGACCTCTGCTGATGGAGGCTGGGCGCGTCGCCCCTGGAAGCCGGACCCTGGGCCGCCCGTGCATGCTCTGCCCCTCCTGCTCACCGTGTTTGTCTGGCTGGCCACTGGCACCACCATGTCCAGCCTCAACAAGTGGATCTTCACCATCCACAACTTCCGGTATCCCGTGCTGCTGTCGTCCCTGCACATGCTCACGGCCGTGCTGGTAGGCTACCCGCTGGCCAGGCTGCGGGCACGTGGGGACGGGGGCATGGCCCTGGGCGCCAGAACTAAGGCCAGAATCTATCTTCTGAGCTTGACCTTCTGCGCCAGCGTAGCCTTCGGAAACCTGGGCCTCAACTACGTGCAGCTGGACTTTGCCCAGATGGTGTACACCACCACGCCCCTCTTCACCCTGATCCTGTCCAAGGTGCTGCTGGGTCAGCGCCACCACTTGCTGCAGTACGCTGCCATGGGGCCCATCTGCTTGGGCGCCTCCTTCAGCATCATCGGGGAGGTGCACTTCGACCAGGCCGGCTGCTGCTTCCTCTTCGCTGCTACCTTCCTCCGCGGATTAAAGTCCTTACAGCAAAGTAAGTGACCCCACCCCCACCCTAATCTCACCCCCTTCCTCCTAGTCATCCTGGGGCCAGGGTTCCACCTCCTCTGGTCATTGTACTCTGGCTGGGGGATCTTCAAGCCCCAGCATCCTGGCCAAATTCCAGCTCTGGGAATTACCTCCAGTCACCTAAATTCAGCCAAATGGAGCACTTCCTGTCCTAGAAGGCTATGTAGTGCTGCTGGCAGTGGCTGTGCTCTAGCCCAGAGGTGGCTGTACTTTGATGGAGGAAGCAACCCCTCTCTAGAGCTGGTGTCTTATCAGCATCTGTAAGCAACTCTGGGATCCTCCTGGAGGAAAAGTGCTATTGAAATGGCATTAATGATGCTAATGGGACCATCTTTCTGGTCTGTGTCTGTGCAGCACCTGGCGCAATGAGTGCTCCTGGGCACTAACGTAATACACCTAATCAACAGTGTACAGTGCCTAGCACAGTGGAGTGCCAGGCCATGCCAGGGGCTCCTGGGCACTACCATAATAATGTCCAATCAACAATGTACAGTTCCTGGGCGCTACGGTAATATGAATAATATTGAGCACGGCCTTACCCTTCTTCTGGCTGCCGCAGAGGTCTCTTTGGGTGCTAGTTAGTGTAAAAGGGGATTTAGTGCGGGAGACTGAAATCCCACATAGTGTGTACCGTTGCTTCAGTGCCTAGCCCCTCCCCCCCCCCACACTGCCCCCTCCAACATCCCCCCCACAACTGGGGGAATCTCCTCACCCCACTCAGTCCTCAGCTTCTTGGACAACAAAGGGCCTGACTGCATGATGGACCACTCTCCACCAGGGGCTGCCATGAGACCCCCCCAAACTCTCCTCATCCAACAGCAGGCAGACAGTGGGGTGACCAGATAGCAAGTGTGAAAAATCGGGACCGGGGATGGGGGGGTAATAGGAGCCCATATAAAAAAAGCCCCAAATATCGGGACTGTCCCTATAAAATCGGGACATCTGGTCACCCTGGTGCCAGTCAGGGCTGGGATTGAGCTTGTGATTTGCAGCGAAGGACTCTGCAGCCCATTGCTGATCGCCTGAGACAGGCCTTTCCTTCCCACTACCCTTGAAGGGACGCTGCTGGCCCTGCTGCCTCAAGAGGCAGTGTGAGAGCACAAACAGCCTGTCATGCACCATCCTCCCCGGGGCCTCTTGGGCCGAAATGTCCTTGGCAGCAAGCAGTGGGCAGATGCCACTGATTGTTCTTCAGTCCCAAAGGGAACGTTTCCATCTCGGTTCCAGCCCCAGCCTGCCCTTCAGGACAACAGTTCAGTTACACACAGGCCCAGACATGTCCTGGCGTGCTGCCTAGTGGTTAGAGCGTGGCCCTGAGCTACGGGGTTACATCCTGCTCCCCGAGTCCCCAAAGGGAAGCCCTGCTGCTTGAGTGGATTGCAGGGTGGGATCCTGGGTGGGACCCCTTTTGCAGCCCTAACTCCAGAGAGAAAATCAGAGCTGCCAAAAGCTCCTAGCACCCCAACCAACCCCCCGGTTAGTGAGCTGCTCCCCAGTTATCATTCATTATCTGTATTACCGTTGCGCGTAGCGCCCCAGTCATGGCCCAGGGCCCCATTGTGCCAGATGCTGTACAGACACAACACAGAGACAGGCCCTGCCCCCAAAGGATTTGCAATCAGAGTGAGAGCTCATACCCCAAATATTAAGCAATGTGGCCTTAGTGGTTTTAGTCAATGAACCCCACACCCTGACTGGTTTGCAAGGGGGGAGCTGGCAATTTGCCAACTACCATCCCTTGATTTTGACTGTGGGGCAAGGGAGATTGTCACAGTTACTGAGACGATGGGGAAAAGGTCCCAGGTTCTGTTACTTGCAGGGTACTGTGTATGTTCTATCCCGGGCCTGCCCCCAGGACAGTGCCCGCTTTAAGGGTGCCCCCTTCTCCCCTCTCTCTTCTGCTCACTGTCGCTTCTCCTCCCATTTTCTCCTTTGTTCCCACCATTCTCCTTACCCGATTCGCTGGTGTGATAAATGAAGGGGGCAGGGGTAGCACCCTTTTATGGACACCCAGCCAGCCAGTTAGCTATAAAATCCCTGTTAGTAGCTGTTCTCTACTTGCTTTACCTGTAAAGGGTTAAAAAAAAGCCCATTGGTAAAAAGACGGGAGTGGGCACCTGACCAAAAGAGCCAATGGGAGGGCTAGAACTTTTTAAAATTGGGGAAAAAACTTCCCTTTTGTCTGTTGTTGTTGTTCTCTGGAGAGAGGAGACGCTGAGCAGGAACGGGGCTGAACTATGCTGTAGGAAGCTTTAAGCCAGGTATGAAAAACCATCAGATCATACCTAGAGACTACTTATTTGGAACTCCCAGATATGTAAGTAGACCAGGGAATGTCTAGAAAGACACGATTAGGGTTATTTCTTTTATTTCTTATTGGCTTGTGGACTTCTCTGTGCTAACCCCCAAATGCTTTGTTTTGCTTGTAACCATTAAGCTGGACCTCAAGAAGTTTATTCTTGATGTTTAATTTTTGTAAGTGGGTTTTTAAAATCTAGCAAAAGCCTAAGTTCCAGATGTATTTTCTTTCTTTTTGTTTTTAATAAAATTTACCTTTTTTAAGAACAGGATTGTTTTTTGTTTGTTTGTTTGTTTGTTTGTTGGGGTTTTTTTGTGTGTGTCCTAAGAGGTTTGTGCATATGTTGTTTAATTAGCTGGTGGTTTTCTTTCTCAGCTCTTCCCTGGAGGGGGGAGGGTGAAAGGGCTTGAGGGTACCCCACAGGAAGGAATTCCCAAGTGCTCCTTCCTGGTTCTCAAATGAGGGAGTGGTGACCCATCCAAGGTCAGAGAAAAGCTGTAACCTTGGAAGTTTAATACTAGCCTGGAGTGGCCAGTATTAACTTTTAGAATCCTTGCAGGCCCCCACCTTCTGCACTCAAAGTGCCAGAGTGGGGAATCAGCTTGGACAGCTGGGCTCAGGACACAGGTAACTCCCCAAGGAAAGCGGCGAAGAATCGGGGCCCCATGAAGGGCTCTGGCTCCAGGGGCAGTAAGTGTCTGTTTCAGGTTGGGGCAGTGATTGCGATTCCGGCTGCATCGCTCGCCCGCCTGGGGGGGAACTAACTGCAGCCCTGTGCACTGAGCATGCTGTGTCAGCGTGAAGCAGACACTGGACCCAGCGCTGCCAAGGGCGCATCGCAGTGGGACAGGGCGAACTGCACTGTTCCAGGTGCTGGGGAGCAGGGGGAATTCTGCCAAATGCTTTGGAATCCTGCTCTGTGGAAATAGTTGGAAAATCAGGAGGGCTTTTACAGGATATTCACTCAAAGCGCCTGGGGGAACCGTGGTAGGGTGGGGTGGGGGACTAGTGAAGAGTGAGCATCCCCATGTCCTATTCTGTGTCAAAGCCTCCCCACTCCCTGAGAGATTGCGTCCCCCAGGCAAGGGCTTCCCCTCAGAGCCACCTTGATCCCTCCCCAGGAACTTCCCCTCCCCACCAGAGGCCTCCCAATTGCCCACATCTTCTATTCCCCCATGAGAGGGCTCCCAATGCCCCCAGAGACTTCCCAATCCCCCTGGCTCTGCCCCCTCTCCCAGAGTCCCTGAAATCTCCGGAGACCTTCTGCTCCCCTCCCTGCCCTCTCCATTCAGTTTCTATATTTACATTGTTATCTCAGGCAGCAGAGGCATGGAAGGGCTGACTGACTGGACTGACTGTCATTTCCATGTTCCCTTTGATGCTCCTTAACCCCCTTCACCACTGACTGAGAGCAGGAGAGCCCAGGTCTCTCTTGCTGCAGCCCCCTCTTCCCTGGCTGGTCCCCACAGGACAGAACAACTCCCCCCAGGGCAGCGCTGGAAACGAGGTAGAGAGGTACCACAGGCTGTGGTTAACCACCATTGGCAGAGGCAGCTGGAGTGTTGACTCAGCAAGGGGATGTGGGTGGGTTGAAATGTTGTGTGTTGTGGCTGGACAGCATGGGCCTGTGTTTCCAAAAATTTCAGCCCATCTGGCCGTGACCCCAGCGGGGCTGCTGGGAACTGAGCGGGCTTGGAAATCTGACCCCATTTGTGGTTCCTGAGCCCTTGAAAATGTGTGTGTGTGTAATCCAGCTGGGCCTGCTCTGTGTGTGTGTGCATGCATGCATGTTTGTGCCTTTGTGCATGTGTGCATGCAGGCATGTATGTAGGGGCCTGAGGCCAGTGTCTGTGATTGTGTTGTCAATGTGTTTGATGTACATTGCAGCATGAGCTGAAAGGAATGTGTGTGTATTTGTGCAAGTGGATGTATGGGTGTAGCTAGCTGAGCGTGTGTAGTGTGATGTGGGAATGCATGGGTAGTGTCATGCATGGGTTGTCGATTGTGTGATGCATTAAGGGATGAATGTGTGTGTGATGTATGGGTGTGGGTCTGACCGCATGCAGGGCCGGTGCTACCATTAAGGCGAACTAGGCGGTTGCCTACGGCGCCAAGATTTGGGGGCGCCAAAAAGCGGTGCCCCCAATTTTTTTTTTACAGCGTTCCTCCCCGAGCGCATGGTCGCCGCTCCACTTCTCCCGCCTCCCAGGCTTGCGGCGCCAATCAGCTGCTTGGCGCCGCAAGCCTGGGAGGAGAATTAGAGCGCGGCGGCATGCTCGGGAAGGAGGCGGAGCAGAGGTGAGCTGGGGTGGGGAGGTGCCGCACGGCTCCCCGGGCTGGGGGGGTGGGGAGCTGTCATGGGGGTGCCTCAGGGTGGGGGGGG